TATATATATATATATATATAATCTCGAAATATTAATATTTATTATAGATTTATGAAATGGTTCACAATAGTAAGTGGTACTTGCGTGAGTGGAGCAGCTGCCGCGTTATTCTTTAAGAATAAAGATAAAAATAAACTCGACATCACGAAAGTAACACCGAAAAAAAGTGAAGAGAAGAAATGGCCTAACCAGATGACTATCAGTACGATACAAAGTGCAGCAGTACCGCCTAATCTTGACGCGGATTAAATGATATTCGTTGATTTTACATATTTTGTTTTTACATATTTGTTGAAAGTAAGAACAATTTTGAAGAGGAGACTTGTGTTTTATAAGTATAAGTGAATCATTTTTAAACGGATCATTATTGAATTGTAACCCCTCAAAATATTTGCATATAGTGCAATAATAATTATGGATCATAGTGTATATTAGAACATTTGATATAACAATTATTAGATCATTCTGGCTGATATGAGTCACTTAAAAAGTGATGGATGTGCACTTATAACATATTTCGTGCAAATATTTCGATCTATTTTAAAGAAGAGAGAAATTGAAAAAGAAAGAGAATAAGGAAGAGGGAGAAAAAGGAAGGATACAAATGAAGTATTTCTTCATTTATGTATTTTAAATTTGCTCAATTGAATTTATTATATCGAATATTAAATAAAATTTAAATCAAATAATAAGATGATTTTGCATATTGAATAATTTGAAATATTATAAATTTAATTAAATATTATAAATTTAATTAATTAAATATTATAAATTTAATTAAGCAAATTAGCATATTATTTTTTTTTTATAAAAATTAATAAGAATTTAAATTCAATTATACAATAATAATAAAAATTAATTTCCATTTTTTAATTATTTTTTTGGAATATAATTTTTTTAGTAGATATATTACATTACTTAATTAACTGTAGTCTTTTGTGTATACTTATTTAAATTCGATAACATAATGTAAATATAGACAGTGTACCTATTGTTTTATTAATAAATATTTTTAACGAAGAAGATGAAAAATCTCTTATAGTTTTGAATTAAATCGTAAATCTTAGTTTTTATTATATTTTTAATAGGTACGTTATTAAATTTTTTTATTATTTGTTTTTGAATGTTATTGGTATTGTATCAGTACTGTATATGTAATTAAAATGTACATTAAATCGTAAGAATGAATAAATATTTTTTTTTAACGAAATACTTTTCTTATTTATTACTTGTTACCTAATATTAACATATAAATTATTTATTAAATATTAATTCGAAAAAGCTTTAAATTTTAATTTAAATAATAATTTTTGTAATATATTTTTATTAATAAAATATAGAATTTAATTTTCCCTATTTAATATAAAAATTGTTGAAAAAAGATTATAAAACTTACAAATTATAATTATATATAATATTATATTATATATATTTATATATAATATAATTATATATATAATATTAATATAATATCTCAAACAGGAACATATTCAAATATTTTTTATCTCGGTGATTTTTTAGTTGCATGATTGGCTCCAAATTCATTTTTACAAAGCAACACATTTTTATAAGCGCTCCTATACTCGGAACTCATCACGACATAAACAACAGGATTTATACAAGTGGTCAAATAGATCAAGATATAACCCGCGATGTTTAATCCTCTCCAATCAATAGAATCTTTAAAAATCTTCGTAATTGTAATAGGTAAATAACAAACGAGAAACGACGAGAATATCACTAAAATCATTTTTAACAACTTCTTGTCTTTATTGCTCATCCTTGGTGATCCATCAGGATTCCTAAATTTTCTGACACTCTTAAATCTCGATTCTCTACGAATAATTATAGGTTTCTTCTTCGTCGATCGATCAGGAGTGTTTGACTTCGAGTCATCGTATCGATCACTATCTGTAGATGTTTTCGAATTCAATCTTTGCATCCAAAGAGCCGATTCTATGAGGAAGGAAGCTCTACTGGTCGTTCTCTCTATTTTATTTCCGTTATTCGTTGAATTTTTCTCTGTCGATTCTTTGATCTTGGTACAATCGTTTGAAAAAACTGTTTCCATTGCTTCGAGATCGTCCACATATGGTATATCATCTATTTTTATTACTAAACCAGATTTCGATTTATCACAAATTTCGACGATAGTTTTAATTGATGCATCGTTATCGGATTGGTTAACTTGCTCTTCGCTATCATTTTTCCATCTCTCTGCTTCTATTATTTGTTGTACCTTCTCTTCGTCGCATCCCGAAATCTTTCTATCTTTCTCTATACCACATGAGTTTTGTTCCCATGATGGTTGGTCCCATAAGGATTCCTCAATCGCCGATCTTGAAGGACTGCGCGAATAGTTCAGTTGATTGAACGAAGTTACGGCGCATTTTGAAGAGAACTTTGGACATAAAACATTCGTTGTACAATTCGAGCTTAAAATTGACAGTTCTTCTTCTTGATTCCTGGTTGATGTGGATCGTCTCTATAATGAAATCGCAAAATATGTGTATCATTTCAAGAAAGAGAGAGAAAAAATAAAAATGACCGATTTCTAATGTTTTACAATTTGCTAATTATTCTGATATTTGGATATACTATTTATTATTATATAATTATATTATACAGTACGTTATATAGTATACAGATATACAAAATGTTATAAAATTCAAATTGGAGCAAAAAATATTAAAAATTTTTGAATATCGCTTGAAAAATACAATATAAGCCAAGAATATATATAATAATACCTATATTTTATTACATTACGATCTAATCATATCGTAATTGTGAAAGAGAAATGATAAAAATATATTTGATTGATATACTGTATTTCCTAATTTATAGTTACGCATCAAGAGTAAGATAGACAAAGAAAGCAGATAATAAGAAAAGGACAGAGATAGAATAAAACTTCTGCCATCAGCGCCATCTTCAGAGTGCCGCAAATGAAACACAAAAAGAAAGGACAGAAAATAATAAGAGAAAGATAGAGATAGGTAGAATTGATCGTTAGCACCATCTATGAAGTATAAACGACACTTCTTCAAAATCGTCTTTCTCAAGTACTTCGAGAGATGGCGCCCACTGTTAATTCTTATTCTACTTTACCTTTGAAAGAGGTTCTAAAGATTTTCAAGAGATGGCAATATAGATCAATTCCACAATTCTACTTTATCCTTCTTTTAAAGAAATGTCTTCGAAATTCCAGAGATGACGCTAGCAATCAATTCTTACCTATCTCTATCTTTCTCTTATTATTTTCTGTCCTTTCTTTTTGTGTTTCATTTGCGGCACTCTGAAGATGGCGCTGATGGCAGAAGTTTTATCCTATCTCTGTCCTTTTCTTATTATCTGCTTTCTTTGTCTTACTTATTGTTACATTTGCTCTACAAAATTTACGCGCACGAAATATAACTTTAATATATAATTAGTTTTATTATCTTTTTTGTTTAATCTCTCGATTGACAATCTTAATAAAGTGTGTTTGATTCAATTTAGGAAATATATATATATATAAGATATATATCTCCGCAAAATTTACGCGCACAAAAGATTACTTGAATGTATGATTAATTTTATTATCTTTTTTGTTTAATCTCTTGATTAATAACCTTAATAAAATCTGATTTCATTCTGTTTAGGAAATATATATATATTAAATATAAAATTATATTTATATATATTTAATTTTATGTAAATTATAGAAAAATTTATTTAATTTATATAAATAAATGATATAAATATTTAAACTTATATAAATTGATAGATATATATATATTTATATATTATATGTATAATTTATATTATATTATATATTATTTTATTATATTATTAAATAAATTTATATATATA